TATACTCAATGGATCCTCTAAATTGTTGTATTATACTCAGGTGACCGTTAAGGCCCTTGGACCTCTTGTTATTAATAATTATGATCTGACTACCTCTTGAACACATGCAGGTAAGATAAAACTGCATGACTTGACATGCGTATAATACGTCATAATACCATCCCAAGCAGGGGGAAACATGCAGCTTAAGAAACAAGCTATGGTAAAAGGTATGTAATCAAATGTGAAGGTATGTTATAGCACATTAGGTACGTTATAGTACGTTAAAACGAATTTCACTGTCGTTTTTTTTTCGGTTTAAATAATCAGAATCATCTTCTTAACACTTAAGATACTATATTCCATCCTCATGCGTCTCGCAGGGACAACAACAATCTTGAGAATGGAGACATATTTGCATCTTGGTGTCTAATTGCATTAATTATTAAAACTGAATAACATCTCATTCAACATCGAAACCACCTTACAGTGAATTTTTTTTCTGGTGCCTGAAGTTTGATGACGGATTATAATTGTCTCTTAATTTATAGAAGAGCATTTCAAAAATTAAGTCACAAATTTCAGACAATGACACCCGTGATGATAATGGGGAATTTCCAGCCAATCGATAGAACCAGTTTATAGTCAGTAATCTCCAGTTAAAAATGTTGGATGCCTGTCAAATTTATGTTTATATATTGTAAAATCAAAATCATGAAAAGTGAATGCATAATAAGAATTTTGCAATAGTCCACGAACATTTTAATCACCCCCTCGTACATGGTATCCTTTAGTTTATAACTGTTACGTGACAGACACTGTACACTGGTACATGTCATTCATGAGTAAACTGGTGCTCTGCTATATGCCTAAAACTATTCTGACTGCTATGTGATAAACACTGTGCACTGGGGCATGTTATCAAGTACAAATATGCTCGGCATTTTGCATGTAGACTGGTACATATTATTCTTGAGTACACTGGTACTACCCTAACCTGGTAAATTTGCACTGATGCAGGTAATCAAATAGTGCATAAGTACTGTCCTGAACTGGAAACAGTAAAATAAAAACTTATTAAATAGTACACTGTGTTCCCTTCTTATATGAGTTAGAGTTAATTACATTATACACAAATTGCATAGGAATAATATATTATACAATTACATTTATTGCTGTTTTGAGGTCAATACGATGAATTAGCCACCTGAGGAGTAAAATATTAAACGAGCCTGAAGGGCGAGGTGATTGAATATTGTACTTCGAAGTGGCTAAATCATTGTATTGACCAAGAAAAGACCAATTATTGTTTTATTATATGATTCAATGATTAAATGATACAAACTCGTTCAGCATTCTATGCCATCTTACTTCTTTACATTTGATGAAGTCCTAGCCAAAACACATTGTGAGAAGCGAAGTAAAAATAAACATAACCAGTTTTATTGATTTGGAATTTTTAAAATCATATAATTGCCATGAAGAAAAAATTAATTTAATGTCAGACCAAAAGGGTCGATTTTGAAAGGAGGATTATAAGGAAAGAAAATTACAATTTACCTGAAAAAAAGACTAGTCCTTCCCAAACGGAGAATTCTACAAACTCAAAGTTTTATTATGGGGGAAGGGGTGATAGGGTCCATTACTACGGGGATGGAGGAGGGGGCAACCAGTCTTAAAATAAACATTGTCATATTAAAATGAAAGTAATATTTAACGTTCAGAAAAAGTGTGGGAAGGGGGGTCCCAACCTAAACTCCACCTCTACCAGACCTCCCCCACCCTGATTCTACGTCCCTGAATATTAATTTCACTTGAGTGGAAGACGGGTGCAAGTGAAATAACTTTCCAGTACTATTTGTATCAATTTGGAATTTCCCGATCTATTTTGAGTTCAACGGGAATTAAAATAAATCCTTATATTCACCTGGAAGGTCACTTTCAGGTGAACATAACGTAGTATTTTTCCAAAATGTTCGATCTCAGCTAATCAAAGAGCTAAGAATTATTCAATCATATAATACAATTACTAGTTATATACAATGCATAATGACATTCTCATTGTTAAAAGACCTTACGTGCGTATTACGGTTCTAATTTAGCAGCCCTCCACCGGCAAGTCTCAATATAAGTGAAAAATTTTCGAAGGGAAGTTAAACAAACAAACACACAAGTTTGACAAGCATTCAAAATTTCATCGTTTCCTCATGAAAACAGACATAAGCATCGAATAAATTTGAACTGAATTGGCTATACTTTATGTCTTTCAACAGTAAGCTTTTCAAGTTTTTTTTCATATCAATCAAACATTATCTGAAAAATCCTTTTTTCATAATGTCGCATTAAAGCAAAACTCTTTTCTTCAGGAAACGTTGAAATTTTCTACACATTAAGGAAATCTTTGAAAAATACTGTATAACTAAAGATTTATATGATTTAGTTGAAAAAACGTTTCTTGAAATGCCGTTTGAAGCTATAATTTTTTTTTTCTGTCTCTGTGTCGAAAAAGGCAAGCTGATTTGTTTGTATTCTAACAAGATGGTGTATAGACGATGTGAGGATCCTTAACGTAACTAAATTTTGAATCTGACACAATAGAAAATTTTGCTCATATAGGAGAAAGAAGTCTAAGATTTGGGAATACAACTTTGGAACAGTTTGAATTATTTGAGAAAGAAAAACAAGATATAGATATAGGGTACTGTGAAGATAATCTTTTAAAATGCATTAAAATGGAAACAGGCCTTACATATTTAAAAGATTTGTTCAGGAATGAGAAATAATATCCGAAAAGTAACGTCATAAAGGAGGCGGTGATATAAACGTAATGCAGCGACTGACGAAGCCAGGTAGGTCTTTTGCTTATACAGCTCAAAAGACATTTTAATCTAAATGCTTTTGTGAACGATTTAAATGAAAATTTTTTAAGTAAAGCTATTACGGCTAAGCAAAAGTGAAAAAAACCTTTTTCCAATTTCAGTAAAGAATTTTTATTCATGATTGATAATTATGCCCCCGGATCGAAAGATCCCGGGGGTATATTGTTTTTGTCCTGTCTGTCTGTTTGTCTGTTTATCTGTTTGTCTGTTTATCTGTTTGTCTGTTTGTCCGTTTGTCTGTTTGTCTGTTTGTCCGTTTGTCTGTTTGTCTGTCTGTCTGTTGTCAACTTTAACCTTGCCCATAACTTTTGATTGGTTGGAGCTATGACTTTCATATTTCACATGTGTATTCCTTGTGACAAGACCTTTCTTTGGGTACCATCATATTTGACCTTTTGACCTTGACCTTGGAGTTTGACCTACTTTTGCAAAATTTTATGAGACTTTAACCTTAGCCATAACTTCTGAACTGTTGGTGCTTGGGGTTTCAAACTTCACATGTGTATTCTTTGTGACAAGGCCTTCCTTTGGATACCAACAACTTTGACCTTTTGACCTTGACCTTGGAGTTTGACCTACTTTTGAAAAACTTTAACCTTGGCCATAACTTTTGAACAGTTGGTGCTTAGGGTTTCAAACTTCACATGTGTATTCCGTGTGACAAGACCTTCCTCTGGATATTAAACACTTTGACCCTTTGACCTTGACCTAGGAGTTTGACCTACTTTTGAAAAACTTTAACCTTGGCCATAACTTTTGAATGGTTGGAGCTAGGGCTTTCATACTTCACATATGTAATCCTTGTGACAAGACCTTCCTTTGAATACCAACCTATTTGACCCTTTGACCTTGACCTAGGAGTTTGACCTACTTTTGAAAAACTTTAACCTTGGCCATAACTTTTGAATGGTTAATGCTAGGGCTTTCATACTTCACATATGTAATCCTTGTGACAAGATCTTCCTTTGGATACCAACCACTTTGACCTTGACCTTGACGTTTGACTTTTATTCAAAAAACTTTAACCTTCGCCATAACTTCTGAACAGTTGTATCTAGGTCTTTCAAATTTCATAGGTGTATTCCTCGAGACAAGACCTTTCTTTGGGTATCAACATTTCTTATCTTTTGGCCTGGATTTTGACTTGCATTTGAAGAAACTTTAACCTTCGCCATAAGCTGCCGTACGGGGGCATCAGTGTTTCACAAACACATCTTGTTTACTTTAGTACCTAGATGCTCCTTTTTGGACGAGGAACAGCCTAAATGATATTAGGCGTGTTATAAACTAAGTTTTCACAGAACGTATTTTGAATCGAGAACCATATCCGCTGTATATAGTAGATTCAGTTTCAATTAGGATCGTTTCCAGGTGGGTTAATATTGAAATTGCATTGCGTATGAGAAACTCTGCTGTGCACATCAGGAGAGACTGAAAGATTTCAAGAGCATATTCGTATTTGTCTAGTTTTCTCAACAAAACGATGTGCATGTACATGTATTTTGCAGCAGCATAATTCTTAGTAGATCAAACTCTCAAAGCACAAGAGAAGTTCTCAAAGGAAGTGTAGTTTCTATGAAGAAGGATGTCCTATTCCAAAAAAGGTTGTGTGAAAACTTAAAGTTCATAACATTCCTAATAGCATTAAGATTGACATGTTATTAGAGCAAAAAGTGTAGCAAGTAAATACTACAAATTAAATTATCAACTAGGAAAATTAAAACAACAAAATTGTAAAATTCCTCATTTTCTTTTGGTTGCGCCATTGTTTAGTTGTAGTATCGTTACTTTAAAAACGTGAATTTATTATTTCACAAAAGCAAGTTAGGTTTAAAAGTTTTTTGAGCTCTATATGTTTTTCTTTGTTTTAGTCTATTATTTAATATTATGATAAACATACTTTTATGTTAACACAATCAGAAATTACCCTGAATATCCTAGACTTCTACATGCAACAGCAGCGTCATTGCTGTCCCACCCATTGTTACATACACGTCGCCATCGGTCATTCACCAAAACCTCAACCAGTCCCTCATCGGAAGAACTACCATTAACAATTCTAGCTTTCTCTGTAATAAAAATAACACATATAGAACTATAAAACATGAAAGAAGAATGAGAGAAACAAGAAATGGAACCCACCATTTTCTATATTGTAACAAATGATGTCGACCTCTCTACTGTTAGTACAGTTAAAGTTGCTGGATTCAATGACTGAATGCGAACATAAAAGCAAGGAATCTTCGTTTCCACTACAAGCAATGTTATTCAACCACACTTTTCCACTGCCCTTTCCAAATAAATTCGATGATACAGGAAAACCCCTAAATCATTATAAGATGCGAACGACTTTATTTTAGTATCAAACTTTCACGATCATTGATACACAGCATGCCTTCAAAATTCTTCTTCAATTTCCAATCAAATCTATTGAACTCGAAGAGAAGTAATATACTGTAGATTCCTAAATATACGCGAGGAATGAATTATCGAGTAATAATTACGCGAGAAGCACCACTAGCGAAATAAAATTACTCGCTTTTATTTTTATAGGGCTTTAATATATGTAAAATCTCAATATAAATCACCCATTCGCGAATTATTGTTCTCGCGATTTGACGTTTTTGGACCATCTCGCGATATTAAGTTAAAATAAGGAATCTACAGTTAACATATTCAACATGCCATTAGAATTTAAGTTTATATACTATTATCAAATTCAATACTTAGTTACAATTTTTTAAATTATTTTGAACTGGAAAGAGAATGAAGGAAAGGATTGTATAAAATTTATTTGAGAAAAAAGGAAGATTTTTTTAAGATTAAACATAATTCACCCTGAGTTGCCAAGACTTCTGCAAGTCACATCAGCGTAATTTTTGTCCCTTGATGTTATACAAACACTTCTCCATTGACCATCTATCGATACCTCAACTCGACCTTCATGTTCAGAACTACCATTTACCAATCTAACAATATCTAGAAGATCGAAAAATATTGTAATAATATAACATGTCAGATAAATATCAAATTATTGAATGTATTAATAACGATTCTCATCATCACCTACCGTTTCCTACATTATAACAGACAACTGCGGCATTTCGACTATCATCGCAGGTACTTGATCCCACAACTGATTGTGTACACTCTAACAAGGAATTTTCATGTCCTCCACAATTAATGCCATCTAACCATATTTTTGTATTCCCCTTTCCAAACACGGATGAAGTGATAGCCACACCTCTAAAAGTGTATGGTTATAACGCTTTAAATTTAACACAAAGTTTTGGAAACATTAAAACAACAACTATTTTATTTTTATTATGTTGAAAAAGACTGTATTCATTATCCAATATATTTTTTTTCCTCTTTAGTTCACGTTGAACTATTTTCATTTGAATATGTGCTAAACAACTTACAAAGTTTATTATCTCTTTTATAAATTGATTCTTAATATTTCCTATTTTATGCACCTCTCACTATCAAATCAAAGAAATCTGTATTAAGAATATCAACAATCTAGTCTTATGCAATGATTTTGGCTTTATTTGACTTCTTGAATAAAAAATCACCCAGAGTATCCTAGAGATCGACAGGCAACTTTAGCATTTTGATTATCCCACGCTGTATCACACACAGCTCCCCACACACCATTGATCGACACCTCAATAATCCCTTCATTTGCAGACTTTCCGTTACGCAATCTGATGGATTCTATTGAATGATTTGAAAATTATTCTAAATATTTGTCACTTAAAATCTTTACAAACAAAGATACATAGCGGGTTCCAGTAAATGTTTACCAAGCCTCTTTCTTTACTCCTCACTGAAATATTAACAAGAGTGAAGGAGAAACTTCAGGAGTACTGTGTAGTGGTGTAAATCAGATGAGGATACTTAAAAATTCCAAGGAACTTTTGGAAAATTTGAAATCACAAAATTTTACCAAAATCAGCAAAATAAAAACTTAAAAACTTTTCAACTTTATATAAAACCATTCCCCACGATAAATTAAAGTCCAGGCTTTTTAATATCATTGACAGCTGCTTTTTCAATAAAAATGGAACTCGTAAATTTTCTTACCTTGTCACTGTTCATTTGCAAAATTATTTTGTTAAAAAACATTCTGATTGTACATGTACACAAGAGTACTCTGAAGTTGATATTAAAAAGATGCTTGAGTTTCTGATTGACAATATCTATGTAGATTTTGGAGACCAGGTCTTCAAACAATCTATTGGAATTCCCATTGGTACCAATTGTGCCCCTTTACTAGCAGACCCATTTTTTGTATTCATTGGAAGCAGAATTTGTTCAAAATCTTAAACGTGAAAAGAAAAAAAAAACACTTGCTGTCGCCTTTAACTCGACATTTAGACACATCGACGACGTATTGTCAATTAACAATGGTTATTTCCATTCTTATGTCGATACATATATATCTACAGTTTGAAATAAAAGATACCACAGAGTCTGACACATCTGTTTCATATTTGGATATTTTACTTGAAAAAGATGTTAATGGTAATCTAACAACCAAGCTTTATGATATACGTGATGACTTTCACTTTTCAATCGTCAACTTCCCTTACTTATGCAGCAATATACCTTCATCACCTGCATACGGGGTTTTTATCTCTCAGTTGATTCGATACGCAAGAGCATGCTCTACGTCTGAACAATTTCTAAAACGAGGTAAGTTATTGACAAACAAGTTGATGAAACAAGAATATCAGCAGTCTCGTTTAAAGTAGTTATTTCGTAAGTTCTATGGTCGATACAATGACCTTGTCAGCAAATACAATTTATCATTAGGTCAAATGCTGACTAACTTTTTTCATACTAATTGTTAGGCCATTATTCACACACTGAATTGTCGACGGATATTTCCGCTATTTCCCGATCAATATATTCCATTAAGTTAATTTTTTTTAAATGTCTTCACAATGCTCTCAGAGTATAAAAAGAATTAATTTACTCACGACTTGGTAGAATACATATAGCACCAGCATCTTCAGAGTGACTGCAGCTGTGTGTTTCTGAATATGAACAGCCAGACAAACCAGTTTCTTTGCCACTACATTGTACATTATTTAAATGAATCGTGCCACTTCCTCCTCTAAATACTGTTTTAGCGACAACTAGTCCTTGTCTAACAAAAAGAGATTCCTTAAAGATAATGGTATTAAATGAAAAATCTTAATTTTGTGAAGAATTGCGTATTAATAATTAATGATGACATAAAATTCTGTTTTAAAAAACGAGAATTTGTACAGCATTCGAAGCCTAGTAAGTAAAATAAGATAGAAGTTTCCGTTTTGCATAGCATAACATATATTGATTTCTTGCATTAAAAAACCCTTAGCACAATTTTGTAAAATTTAAAGCCTAATTTGAATAAGGAAATTAAGAAAGAAGTCCCATACTAGTACCCAAACAAATATTACTCTAGATAATCACCGTTTACTTAAAATAACAACAATTTACAATAGCTAACTAAAGTTTCCTATTCTACATTTTCTAACATAATTGATGATGATGTTTTATAAAATTCAATTAATACTTCGATTTATCATCTTACAAAATGATCTTAGCAAAGCATTTGATACGGTTAATCATAATGTACTTCTCCACAAATTATTGTCTCTTGGAATATGCAAAGACTCTTTTAATTGGTTCAAATCGTATTTATCGAATAGAACACAGTGTGTTGGATGGAATGGTATTCAGTCAGAAAAATTAGATATTACTATAGGCGTTCCTCAAGGATCAATACTTGGGTCATTGTTTTTATTCTGTATGTCAGTGACTACCCAGACTGCTTAAAACTCTCAACAGCTCACATGTATGCTGATGATACAACTCAGGATGTCTTAGATAATTGTATAAATGTTATTGAAAATAAATTACATAGCGATCTTATCAATACGTTAGAATGGATGGAGAAAAACAAGTTAACAATCAATCTTTAAAAAAAAAAACTTAGAGTATGTTGATACAATAAGAAAATGTACGAATCTATCTATTCAAGTGGGCAGTATTGTTATTGAAAATGTATCTTGTGCGAAATTACTTGGTGTTTACATTGACAGGTGTCTTACGTGGTCTGAACATGTTGAAATTTTAACAAAAAATCTTGCAGGCAAAATAGGTGTTTTATCTAGATTAAGATCATTCATGTCCTCGGAGTTATTGCTGAAAATTTACAATACAATTGTTTTTCCTCATTTTAATTACTGCTGTACTGTTTGGGGCAATATGAAGAACAAAGACGGTCTTAACAAACTGTGTAAACTCCAAAAGCGAGCCGCTAGAGTGATTTTAAATAAAACCTTTTATATACCTACATCAGAAATGTTTCTGCAACTCAAATGGATGCCTCTAAATGACTTTTTATATATATATAGAACTGTCATTCTTGTTTTTAAAGTTCTGCATGGATTAGCTCCAAATTATTTAGATGTTTTCAAATATGTATATGAAATAAAACAGCAGATCTACTAGATTAAACCAAAGCAACGCACTGTACATTCCGAGGGCAAAAACAGAATATTATAGAAGATCTTTTACAATTTACGGCTCGCAAATATGGAATGAATTGCCAGAATTTTTAAAGTGTAATCCCTCAATACAAAGTTTTAAATCAGCATATATCAGAAATTATTTTCAGTCTACAAACTAACTTAAATGTACCAAACACCTCAATATGTTCAGTTTTATTGAAATTTCACATTATATCATGTGTAAATATTATTTTTATTATAGACCACGCTTTTTTTTCATATTCTTTAATATTTATTTGTTTCTGTACATACTCTTGCTGTCTGTATAAACGTTTTCAGGACCACAATGTAAACTAGTTTTCTAAACTAATTGTGCTATCCTGTATAAATAAAGGACATTATTATTATATTATTATTACTAACTTTGATATTTCATAACAATTTGATTAGAATTTAATATGAAACATTAACCTTAAATGTCTTGGAGGATAAATATCTCTTAAAGTCCATATATTTGATAATAGCTTATGAAGTACTTGCATATTAAAATGATTTTTGTTGTAATTTTTGAAAAATCCAGATAGTAAATGAAATATATAATAAATATTTGTTTCACAATATAAATATTTTGTTTAGGTATTGCAAAATCTGTCATACTTTGACCTAATTTGATATGACAAAAACCCTACATTTTAAAACAATTAATTTCTAAGGAAGCTATCATGAACTATAACTTATTTTTGTAAATTAAAGCATTTTTGCTAGGTGATTATGGTTTCTTTTCATTTGTGGAGAGAATGTTTGTGGGCAATCACAATTTTTATACGTCTTCATGCAGTGATAAAGTTCTTGTTCATGGAAATCCGTAGGCAAGGGTGACCTACGAACACGAAGATTATTTCACAGTATATCTTATCTGTTGATTCAATCCCTTACCGTACATGTTTGACAAATCTTGACTTACTCTTTGGTGAATACTTCCTTTTTACTTGCCTATTATAGAGGAAAGAGCTTCAGATTGTTATTGTATGTTAGTTGTGCAGAAAATCTAATCTTTTACTTTATATCATAAGAGAGTGAGAGAAAGAAAGAGAAAGAGACTTGTGCATTAGAATTTTCAATAGTTTGTTAGTTTTAATAAGAAAAAAATAGCTATTCTTTGATCAGCAAAAATCAACTTTGATATTTTCTTCCATTGAAAACCAGAGTTTTCCGGTTATCTAGACAAAATTTCCTCCGTTATACTTGATGATCTGCTTTGAAATTGAAATAATTTAAACTTACTCGCTGTATCCCAGAGATCTACAAATGACGCTAGCGTCCTTGTAATCCCAGTTTCTGTCACATATTGTCCCCCATCTATTGTTCTTATAAACTTCCACTCTTCCTTGAAAGTCTTTTTGTTTCGAAAGTCGAACAGGGGGTGCTGCAAATTTGAAATGAACCAAAGGAGTAAATAATTAAAAAAAAAAACATATATGTTAATTTTTTTAAGTCCAACATTGATAATTCTATGTTTGAGGAAATTGGAAATGTTTCCATTTGTTTTACTTGTTCACATTTCCATTTATTGACCCATAAAAAACGTATTCAATTCCCAAATGAAATTTAAATGACCATAATGATGTAATCTGGCCTATACTCACTAGCACAGATGTTAATTTATTTAAGCCGTAGATCCATTATTATAACTAACTTAATCCGAAGAGTCGTATCACGTCTCGTTGACAGGCGCAGATCACCAGATCAAACAAGACGCGAAGCGTCGAGTTTGATCTGATGATCTGCGCCTGTCAACGAGACGTGATACGGCTCTTCGGATCAAGTTACTGTTATAATGGTAAATTTATTATATATCCCCCTACAACTAGCAAAATATAGGTCTTAAAAAACTTTTGAGATCAATTTTATAGGATTTTCCCATTAAACAAAGCATTTTGTCAAGGAACGTTTTGATGTGCATGAAAAATTGCGTCATGTTTCTGTGTACTACGTCATCAATTTCAGAGAGGGGTGATATGGATTCAGAAAACCACAGTGTGGTGATCCGGAAAGTCGGATCACACCGTCACGTGATTATACGAAATCTACAGTAAAATTGAGTGATACACACTTGGGTATATAATAAAAGTAGTTCTTTGAGAGGTCTGCAAGGACACAAAGATGCATGTGTATAGCCATTTATATTAATTTATGTAAATATTTACAAATCAATTATGATTCTTGTAATCAGTAATAGTATACAATAACTTTTACCCTAAACATACGCCAAATTTTGTAAACATTTCTTATACATACCACCTTCATATCACAGGGAGATCCCCCTGCCATTGTTGTGGACTAGTTTGTATATACATGTATATGTTACCTGGTGATCTCCCATCTTATAAATGTGATAATCATGTCTTACTTAGACTTTCGGGAGATCCCTCTGCCTGTGTGATATCAGCTGCTCAATAAGTCCTTTTACGTTTATCTGGGATCTCCCTAGTAGTTAAGGTAGTTTATTTTTAATTAGTTGTTTATCTTCGTCATTAATAAATGACATTATTCATCAAAGCATGTCTTGGTGTTTTATGGAAGTAAAAAATTAACGAAGCTGCGGGACCAAGATGGAACTGGTTTCCACTCATTCTTTACTGTACAGGCATTTGTCTGGCATAAGATAAATGGAGGGCATAAATGATTTTATGACGATACCTTTCATACAAATAACACCTGCATCTTGGCTGTGACCACAGTTCTGATTTAAATTATTTGTATGTCTGCAATCCAGTAGGGAATTCTCTGTTCCGCTACATCTGACATCATCCATCAGTATCAAACCAGTCCCACGTCCAAAGTATGCACTGCTATACGGGATTCTGTTTATAAAACATATTTGTTACTATATGTATTAAAATTATCAAGATTAGTAAATAATAAACAGATTTTTTGGCATGAATTTTATAATTTATCGGCTATAATCTATAAATTTATGTATATACTCTCATATAATTATCCATAGCACATGTATGATAATGTGAAAATTTCTTCCATTACTTATAAACCGGTCGCAGTAGCATATTGATAGAGTTATCATGTTTTAAATTTTGAATTTACTAGGGGGAGGAAAATGCAAAATTTACATCATGTTGTAAATTTTGCATTTACCTCTCCCTAGTAAATTCAATTCAAAATTTACAACATGATAGAGTGCTTACATTGTGATTGGCAGGCCCGCGTTCGATTCTCGTTACCTTGTCTGCATCAAATCTAAGACGTTCCTACGCAAAGTGCACAGTATTAGAAATGAAAATCATATAGGGATACATCGTCGGTAACCCACGGTCGGTCTCGCTTCTCTTACCTCCCGTGGGACACAAGGCCGAAAATTTCGCTAGACTCATTGATATGCGTAACCTAATGTGACCTTTCGAGGGCCAATGAAAATTGACGTTATCAAATTAGGCATACAGTAATGGCGGCGCCCATGAGAATAATGTCGTGTTGCTGTTTGAAAGTGTTTTGTAAACTATGGCAGCCTCGGGACACGTAAAAGAATGCTCTTTTTGCTTATGTGTTATAAAGGACAGGGGATATAGAGCATTAAGCTCTAAAACATCAACTGAACAGTATAATTATGCATTTACAAGGTTAAATTTTTTCCCGACCAGCAATTCATATGCGTGTAATCTATGCACCAATAAACTAAATAGAATATCCAAGATCGAGGAAAATGTGCGAGCAAAGGTGGAACAGTTGAAAACTGAGAGGGAAAAGTTGTTAGGTATGTGATATTTGGATTTAGACAAATGTGGAAACTTTTTGACCTACTTCTCATGAAGAGGTGTCTATAACAGTATAAATATTTATCAAAGAATGAGGGCTTGAAAGTTGATTGTTGATATCAGTTCTGTGTATTGAATATTCTATTTACTAATAACTATTATTAAATAAAAAAGTCCTGCCAGCTATTTTAAAATTTAATCTAGAAATTGTTGCCTTATTTATAAAAGCATTGCATACATAAATTTACACAGGGATTTATAATTTGTTTCAAGATGTTCTAAGACAACATCAACAGACAAGTGGGCATGTTAAGCCCAGTACCCCCAGGGTGAGTGCAGTGAAGAGGTCCCTAGATAAGACACCAACACCAAAAGGAAAAAGTAAAAAAGCTCTCTTTAAAACACCTGACAAACTACTTCTGCATCAGAACCCAAATCATAGTCTCCAGTCAAAGTTACCATGCAGGGAGGATAAATCAACACAAACACATGTGTCAGAAAATTTTGATGTAAAGGTAATTTTTGATAAATTTGTCAATGGGCTAGGGTCATGCAGCCTTTGTCTTTTACTGTCCAACATCTGGTCACTACTGTAAATTCATAAATGACTATCCCATATTTTCTTGATTAAAAGAATGGCAAATGAAATTAAACTACTCACTTTGACACTTTCAATCTTTATGTTGCTAATATTGAAGATATAAGAATCTACATTATTGCAAGAGTTCTAACTGTTACATGTGTATGTGAACTATACATCATTTCATGTCATCTTTGATGATGCTTTTGTTTCATAGAATATGTACATATATACAAAATACATAAACTTTTCAGTGTTCCATTATAGATTGTCACCAAGATTGCTGGAGCTGATGTAAGTAGAGTAGTAAAAGATGAAAATTCTAAAGCAGCCTTAAAATCACTGTTTAACAGAAGATCACCTCATGCTGTACTGAAGAATTTTTGCAAAGATACCAGCTATATGGATGCGTTATTTCAGTTGTGTGTAAAGAAGCTGAAAAAAGAAATTGACTGTGTAGTTAGTAAAAAAAGTGACCTATTAAAATGCAAAAAGAGTGAAAGTATGATGAATCTTGACTGGTCTTTTGTGGAATCAAAACTCAAGGAAGGGATTCCTTATCTGTTTACCATTATGAGCAGTTTGATAGATGTAAAAAAGAAGCAGAACCTTCCAGTGCTAATAATGTCAATAGGTGTACTTCTTTATGGCAGATCAAGATCAGTAAATCAGTTACAGTATATCCTTGGTCTAACACTAGACAAGTGTGGAGTGTCAAAAGAGGTATTTAAAACTAGTTTTAAAAATTATTAAAATTGATTGAAATTTAAAAAAAAAAAAGTCACATTAATCCTGATGTAGTCGAATATCTATTGAAAAAAGGTGTGAATCAAAAATGATACTGTTCATTGGTTTTAGGGTTTGAAAATTCTTCATGATCTTGGAATTTCTGTGGCAAGCAGCACTGTCATCAAAGAAAAGAAACAGCTGATCAAAGAGCAGGAGAAGAAGGTGTCGGCCACAATGACAAGGTATTTACATTCTTATTACCCTTCACCTGAAAATCCAGGACTCTTAGATGTTAAACATGGCATAGAAATCATAGGGGATAATTTAGATGTCACAATTACTCCTGCTAAGATGACAATGATGTCTCAGAGAAAGAGCTTGCATTGGTTTCTGACAATGGTGAAAGAGAAGAGGATCATGTCAGATGATAATCACCCTAGATCAACAGAAGAGAATGAAGAAAGCAGGGATATTTTGAAGTTGCCAACAAGTGCATGGTTACCATCTTCAGGTGACCTGCACACATTGATTGAAAATATGAAATTTCATATTATTAAAGTCCTTATTACCTTTGTCGAATTTCTGAAACCCTTACAAAAGTGTGTGCCAGGTTGCATAACCCATGACTTTATGGACAAAACTCGACAGAAATCAGTCATTCTGAATTGTGACTTAGTAGAGGCTAGTGAAAATTCATCAGAGGGAATGATAACAATTTTGCAAAATGTGAATAAACTAGTTTTCCAAGCTGTTGAAAAAGATCAGAAAATAACGGACAGGGTTGTTTTTGGTGGAGATGTTCTCACCAATGAGCGAGCATTTACAGCTCAAGAAGCCATGCAAAATGCAAAATCAGACTATGATATGCTTGGGGGGCTTGTTCACAGGCCAGAAGGTTTTCACAGGAAGATGAACTTCTTATTGGTAACACACCCTGTTCAGGAATGTTTTAGTTCCAGTTGTTTTTGGCTTTTATGAATTAGAGTAAGTATTTTGCAGAGATAATATAGTACTCATAATTTTACTTATACATGAAGTGCCATCCATATTTTCATCTTTAACTTTGCAATGACAAATAGGTGGAAATATTGTGAAACTCTGCAGACTTGCTCATGTTCTTTGCATCCAGATTATCAATTTGGCTTTGAAATTTTACTAGGTCATAAACTGCATTTTCCATTTTTTCAGCATGAATTTCATTAGTATTATTCATTTATCACTTGTTGCCCTCCAAATATTGGTATATATTATCAATTCCTTAATTTATCTTAGTACATCATGTACATGTAGATAGTATACATATGTTTCAGAAACTGGGAGTTGTAGCCCATCATAGGCCATTCCAATGTTTTCTATGTTTAGCATGACTTGATTTTATTGCTTTATAGTTTTAGTTTTTACTAACAAATAAATCCTTTTGTACATGGTGCAAGTTGCAAATTTATTGATAAATTACATGTAATTACATAATCTGCATAATTATGTAGATTTCAGACAATTCTGAATTTTTCGATTAAGTTTTAATTTTATACCCCTAAAAGATGTCTCAAGTCTAAACCTATTCCATTTCTTCAGTTTTCACAATAATATTTTTTCAGGGAATATTTCAACTATTTTACACTGAGAGCAGTGCATCAGACCAGGGTTCCCTATACAAACTGAGGAATGCTATCAACCGTCGGTCAGTGACTGGGCCTAAGGAAGTAACAAATAACTTCAGGTAAGTTGAACTATCCAAGTCAAGTATTTTGCAATATGAATTTGAAAATAACAACAGATAAAAAAGAATGTTAATAATGTGTGCCTTGTTATATTTTCTTTTAGATCCCATCATCAATTCATCCAGGATGTGACAGATTCCTACATTGTGTCAACATTTTTGGACATCATGGACATGGAGGAAGTTACATCACAACCCTCACATGCTCCTGTTTTTTCATTAATGAACAATGACAACAAAATGGAATGGATTACCAATGTTGCCACAGATGTTCTTAATGCACTTGGCCTAAATTCCTGGAAAAGTTTCTTAGACATAAGGTTAAAAACCCTTTTCTTGTATGAACCAAATATTGTATTTTTATGAGTGCTATTCCTTGGATAGATGCAATTGTAAGCTCACCCAAGCAAAAAGATCATGATCAAATAGAGTCAAGTTTTCACCAGTCTTTAATATTTTTGCCACAAGTCTTCATTTTTCATACTTATGAATCTAAAATTATTAGTACTAAAAAATCATTTATTTTGATATTTTAGATCACACTTGGTAGATCTAAGTACTGATGATGTACAGATAGATGCCATGAAACAAGACCTTTCTTTCTTTTGTGCAATGTGTGGGAAAACATATATTAGGAAGTCTTGGCTAAAGAAACATCTACTGAAAAAGCACAACTGGATCTTTCATGAAATTACAGAGTTATCAGATCCCGATCAACCACTTACATCCTTTCTAAGGATGTCCCTTCTCTACCGTGATACCTGTGATGCATACAAAATGGGTGATGGGGACCGCATCATGCGTAATGCCAAGTTTGAGTGGTTGTATGCCTCTGCTTTAAGTCACTCAAAATATAAGCTCTGGTTGTGGAGAATGCTCACATATGTTAATTCTATTCTTCCACCTGACCAGGCATTTGAGTATATGTGGAATATGACTGTAAATCTGAAGGGCGGCATTTACAACAATATCCCTAATGACAACTGTGTAGAACTGCAAGTGCGCAACATCAAGAGAGAACTCAACACACAAGGAGCAAATAAATCCTTTCAATCAGCAAAAACAATTTGCATGACTACACAAGTCATTGACAGCATTAAAGATCAGCTTTTGAGGACTACCAAAATAGTGAAGTCGTCGAGACACAGGCCGGATGTTGATAAAACAGTTGATATCATTACTATGGTTAAATCTTTGAGAAGCAAAGGACCAGTGTCAGATCTTTGCTGGGAGAGTTTCTCCAAATTTAAAGATCCAATTCACCAAATTGACATTCTTAAATTACATGAATGGATAAATGAACAAAAGAACATTGCTGACTTGTACATGTAAACTTATTAGGGCCAAGCATGAAATGGGAATTACAATGTCCATCTGTTTATCTAACTCTGTCAGTTTTGTTCTGACATAGTAACTCATTGTGTTTTATTTTTTAAAAAAACAAAATCAGATTTAAGTTCAAGCATTTATTGTAAAAATGGCAATAGTATAGCTTGATCAGTACACCATTATAAAAGTAATGGTGTAGATGTTATAAACTGATAACAATTTACCATGTTGAACATATACATGTATGTATAGACCTCATATCTAAAACAAATAAAATATGTACAAGCTTTTAACATGTTTAAGGAGTACAAACTGATTCATAAATTTGAAGTATAAGCAAAAACTTGTTTCAGTGCTTTCAATTAAGGGTTTAAATTAAACTTCATCCTTCCTCTCTCAGAAAAAGTTTGTTTATAATACTAATGAATTTTGACAATAAATCTTTTTTTTAGGTCACCTGAGTCACTCGAGTGACGTATTGCTATCTGCTTTCGTCAGTTGTGCATCGTGTGTTAACATTTGCACATTTTCAGCTTCTTCTCTGAAACCGCTTAACCAATTTCAACCAATTTTGGGTGAAGGGAAACAAAATTTGTGAATTTCATGGTCCCTGCCCCCCTGGGCCAAAACAACTAAAATTAGTGTTGGCATGATTGTAATGAGCAATGAGCACTCTATCAAAATTGTGAAATTCATGGCCCCAGGGTCAGGGGTTCTGGTGCCAAGGCAGGGCTCTGTTGTATATATAGTGAAAATGTATTATTTCTTAAAAAATCTTCTCCTCTGCTCCTGGGTATAATGCCAATGATCTAATTACATAGTTATGATGAGCAATGGTGCTTCGTCAAGAATTTTGAATTTCAAGGCCCCTGGATCAGGGGTTCTGGTGTGAGGTGGGGTTCTAATGATTATATTGTGAAAATGCATTAATTCTTTGAAAATCTCTGCTCCTGGGTATTATGCTGAGGATCTAAGTACATAGTTATAATGAGGAATGGTGTCTCTTCCCAAGTTTCTGTATCCCACTGAAAATGTATCTTATCACAGATTTAAATGAACCCTAACATATTTTTAAAAAGTAGGTCTATCACCAAAGGCTGACAATATATATTTGCAAAATTATACAATACTGACTGATTTATGAAATGCAGCAATGTATGCGTGCATATTTTTTAAGGATACTTTGAATTACATGTATTACATCTTAATGCTTACTCCCAATCTGAATCTGTAAACAAGTCATGATCATCCTGGCTACTTGAATCTGAAGAAAAAGCTGGAAATTGAGTTTTATAATAAGGATGTTGTGCTAAACTACATTTTTCACAATCTTTCACATGACACTTCTTATCACAAATATCACAACACATATGCATGTCCCTATCCATAGCAGGTTTACTCTTATAGGAAGACAATATATTCTCACGGAGACAAATGGTTTCATTTTTAACATATAATTTCATGTCATCATCTATACATTTAATATCATGTTTTGTGTAAATCAATAAAGACATTGCTGAGCCACCGTCTCTACCTGCTCTGCCATACTGCTGAACAAAAGTATCCATATCTCGGGGGCAACCATAATTAATTGTATATTTCACTCCTTTAAAATTTACACCCATACCAGCTGCACTGGTAGCAATAAGAATTCTAATTTTGCCATTTTCTTTAGACATATCCTCTTTAACTAATTGTTTAACATCATCTGTGGTTTTTGAATGATACATTTCAATATGGTCAATCAATTTAACATTTTCTTTAAACATAATTCTAAACATAGTGTACAATTTACTACAAGTTCTGATAGAAGGGCAAAAAATCAGATACCTATCACAGAGCTCTTTTTTCTCTTTCAACATCAGAATTAGAAAGAAGAATGTATTCTCTAATGGAGTGTTGTATTTAACACACTGTAAAAATAATTTAATATTGTTCCTGTCTGGGTTCTCTATAATTTCTAAACAGTCTGTCATACAAAATTTTCTCTGTAAGGCTTTTCTGGCAGCTGAATTTGCTGTGGCAGTCATCATAATTACAGGACATTCCACAAGGCTTTGCAGTTCCCCTAGTCGACCATACCAACGTCTGAAAGGATCTTCCTCGCTCGCAGACTCTCCCCTAAAAAATAAGGGGAATAATTTAAACCCTGTTTGAATTGCTCAAATTTTGATGGTTTGTAACAATGCATCATTTTTCCCCGGGTTTTTCCCCTTCATAAATAAACTTACCAATGTAACACTGTGTGGGCTTCATCTACAGCTATTAATCTAATGGTTGAATTGTTTGTCACCCAATCTCTCCACTTTCCATTTAGCACACATTCAGGTGAGGTGAAAATGAATTGCATTTCATTTCTTAAAATGGAATCGTCGTTTTCACCACCTATATCACGAAGGAATAGTTAAATTAACAATATACTAATACATGTACCTGGGAAAATGTATGTTTTGATATAATTTTTAATAAATAAAAATGTCAGAAAAAAAATCAACATTTACATGTTTCCTGTCGAATAAAAACCAGTATTGAGTGCTACAACGCACACAGATACAGAAACATGAACGTTAGAGAGGTTCTGAATCATCACATAACATAGCAGAGGGGAAAAGGTGAGCGAGATCGACATAGCTAATGCCCATGCATGCCAATACAATTACATTATAGAACAGAACAGGACATTTATTTTCTAATTTAGAGCCCGAAACAGACAAGTATGAAATTATTACAATAATAAGGAAAAAATTATGCCAATGGATAGTATAACAATTTGTAAATGACATTGCTCATTTCAACAATAATATTGTACTATTTCAGTTAAAAGGAATACTATATATAAAAGTGTACGACTACTACAACATTTTATCATTTATGAATTTGCCCACAAAATTAAGAGTGTCTTTGTCTTTAATATTGAGTAACCAAAAAGAGTTTCATCATCTACACTGTATATATAGTTTATGTCGATAAAAAGTGTAAAAGTAATCTGCTTACCAATAAATGCTGAAAGAAATCCTAAACTATTCAATGAATTGCACTGTTCATGCATAATGGAAAGTAGAGGTGAGACGACCAAAACTGAGATCGGATTGTTGTCGTCAAAACTAGCGTTATATGCCGTGTGAAAGCCCTGGTAGCAAATACTTTTCCCACCTCCGGTTTTGATAGACAGAAAAACATCTCTTCTCTTCAAGAGCGCTGCCAAAGACTCTCTTTGAAAGTCTTTTAGCTCGTTTATTTGAAAAACTTCTTTCACTTTCGCCTCGAACGTCTCCATATTGTTTGCAAAATCCTTCCCGACATACGGGTTGCAACGATGATTTTTATTGGATAATTAATAGTTACACATCGCAATACCGTATCGTATTGCGACCAATGAAAATGCGGTATTGAGACACACCTCCAAGCGAAATTTTCGGCCTTGTGTCCCACGGGAGGTAAGAGAAGCGAGACCGACCGTGGGTTTCCGACGATGATAGGGATATAGCCTAAGAAACTTAGGTCCGGGTGCCGGGGTAAGATTGATTGATTGATTGTATGTTGTTTTACGTCCCATTCGAGAATTTTTCACTCATATAGAGACGTCACCTATACCGGTGAAGGGCTTCAAATTTAGACCTATACTCGGCACTCAGAGCCATTGAGCAGTGAGGGATCTTTATCGTACCATCGCCTGCCATGACATGGGGTCTCGGTTTTTAAGGTCTCATCCGAAGGACCCACGAATTTCATTTCAAAGTGCCGAGCGCCTGGCGAAGGAACAGTTGCTACCTATTTTTTATCGACTTAGGTCAGTTGCGGCCGAGATTCGAACTCACGGTCCTCCGATCACGGAGCGAGAGCTCTACCGACTGAACTACCATGACAGCTATGCCGGGGTAAGAGTCAGGGTTTTGTCATCACCCTTATGAATCTATATGATTTTTATCACTATTAAGGACTACATGTACATGTTTATTGAAAAACTGAAACTTCATGCAACTAAGCTTATACATTTCTTTTACATAATCATACGATAAGATGTTATTTTTAGATTCTTTTCAAAAGAATCGTTTGTAGTATCTGTTCTCAGAAATATTTGAAAAATATTGAAATATTTATGCACAATCATCAAATTATAAGTAATTAAAAAATAATAAAACTGCTTACCCCACTAATCCGAATAGTTGTTTACAGACTACATTGGCTTCATTAAAGTCCCAGTTATCATCACACACTGTTCCCCACACTCCATCCTTGTAGACCTCAACCCTTCCTTCTCTTGAAGAATTTCCATTCACAAGTCGAATTTCTATGAATTAATAAATAAATAACTTAGATTTCCAAGCTTCAGAAAGCTTCAGAAATCTGGACGCTTCACAATCCAGACTTGGGGAGGGGGGCAGGATTACAATTGTTTACATCTACCAGTTTCAAAGATACGACGATTTTTTTATTTTTCGGGAACACAAGGCGCGGGATTAACCAGGCAAGACTCTAATATGACAAACGTTAAAAACGACATAGTATTTGCAATTATTCAAATATTACAGTTGGACTTTTGTTCATTCTCTTGTAATATGCGATTAATGAAGAAAAGAAAAAAATGTTAGAATTTGATATATATTTTAATATTGATCATAATCACAAAATTAAACCTCTCCTTGAACACGGATAAGAATTCTTTTGTAAAACTTTGATTCCCTATTGTGGACACACACTACCCATGGGGACATGATACGAAATATGTGGAGATAACGAACAGTATTCGAGCTCAAAAGCCCATTAAACATTACAAAATAGGAGCAGAGCAAACACGGACCTCTAAGACATCAGAGGTGGGATAAGGTGCCATGGAGGAGTGAACATCCCCTGCTGACCGGTCACACCAGCCGTGTGCTCCTTGTCATGATCGGGAAATAAGGAAAAGTCTGTCGACAATTCAGTGTGTAAATAATGGCCTAACAATTAGTATGAAAAAAGTTAGTCATCATTTGACTTAATGAAAGATTGTATTTGTTGACAAGGTCATTGTATCGACCATAGAACTTACCAAAATAATGACTTTAAACGAGACTTCTGATATTCTTGTTTCATCAACTTGTTAGTCAATAACTTACCTCGTTTTAGAAATTGCCCATACGTAGAGCATGCTCTGGCGTATCGAATCAACTGAGAGATACAGACCCCGTATGCAGGTGATAAGGGTATATTGCTGCATAAGTAAGGGAATTTGACGATTGAAAAGTTAAAGTTAACCCCTCCTTCATGACAGTAAATATTTTAGTGAGGAGTAAAGAAAGAGGCTTAGTAGAACATTTACTGGAACCTGCTATGTATCTTTGTTTGTGAGGTTTTTTAATGAAGTTTCGGAATCCAATATAGATATGGTTATTTCAATGGTTCCCCCATATTTTTGCCTTTTCTTGATTGTTAAACTTGGATAGAGAGCAGTTCCTTAGTCTGTATAATTTAGAATTCCCTTTACCCAAGGATGCTTTGTGTCAACTTTAGTTAAAATTGGCCGGATGGTATTTACGAAAAAGTTAAAACTGTTAAAAGTATACTAACGGATGTACAGACATACATTGTATTTAGTTCAACAACATATCACAATCTGAAATACTTTTGTAAACACACATTTGAAAATATGCTTATTGCACATTCTCAGCGAAATTAGTCTACAAGCAAGCTAGGGGATCAAAATCCTTTGACATAATACCAATTACCTTATCTTACTTTATACTAGAGAGAAAAATCCTATAACGCCATGAAATCTTCCAAAACTATAAACACATGAGACCTTAGAGATTCGGCTTGTATAACTGCAACTCATCTATATTTCCTATGCATATTTGGAAGAGGATCTTTTCAATATGTAGAGACATCTAATTTAAAAAAAACCTGTCTGAATCAGAAAGATTTTCCAGCAAAATGGCAGAGTAATGGTTCCCTTCTGTTTTATGGTCATTAGTCTCCTGTTAGATTTCCCTATGTAATCATATAGTTATGTACATCAGGTACATGTAGTTTAATTACTGATTTATTTTTGCGGCTAAAGATGAATTTCTCTAGTACATGTAGTAGCTGTGACTTATTTCATTCCTCATAAGCAGGCAGTTATAGATCAAATTTTAATAACGAAGCATTATATGTGGTTGTGTTTATGTTTCATTAATGCTACTGCTATGATTAATTTAAAAATAACAATTAACAACTAGTAGGATTTAACATGCATTAATTACAGAGCAGAAACTAAACAGAGCAGAAACAGAGCAGAAACTAAATTCCCTTTTAAATACAAACATTCTCAAAATGTTGAAAATCTAGAAACTTTTGTATATCTATAAGTCGATGTATACAGCCTGGCGAAAGCACTTCAGACAAACAAACAGGTAGGTTTTTGGGTCTTTAAGTGTCACTTAAAGAGTCAAATACTTACTCGGTTTTGCACTCCCTGCTTCAACTTGTTTCTGCAAACTCTCAATTAATTGCTGTTGGTTTAGAATTTGTTGTTTCATCAACTTGATTTCTGTATTGTGGGCTCTAACCACCTCACTCAGTTCTCTTACTGAGAGAGTACTTATAGAGATAGTACTCTGATTTTCAACTGCAACAATTGAGAGTGCAAACACCAGTAGTTTACAAATATCCATGATACTGAAAACACAAAGGAAAATTAAGATATTTTTTTTGCTCTCACTGTTGGCGAGGATAAGTACAAAAATTAGATACTGTATACTCTCCAGTGACTTAATTCATGCATTCTCTGTTCCACAGAACTGTAGATATTTAAAAAAAAAAAAAAAAAAAAAGACTGATTCGATAAAAGAACTTCAGATTACATGACTCATTTTTGTCCTGGAAAATCCACTACTTTCTTAACGAGGTTGGATCCTGATATTTAAAGTCTTAAACTTTTTTGGTCAGGTATATTTTTAGTTTCTACACACATAGCTTAATTCAAAACAAAAAATGGGGGTTAATGTGTTTCTTTTGACGCTACAGTACATTTAATATGACCTTTTTGAACTGAAATTTGTGTCTTAATCAAAAATCACATCTTTGACGTTTTCCCTTCAATGTTTTTATCCATATAAATCATGGGACAAAATAAACAATTAGTCTATTTAAAAAAAGACACATTAAAATTGTGACTAAGAAAAAGTTTCAAACTGCTTCGCATAATCAATTATTTGACCTTTCTGCGCTCAAAAATACGATTTTTCTGGCATTAAAAATTTAACAAGCAAGAAAATTATTTAAAAGTCTTAAACTTTTGCTGAATTTAAGCAGATTGATCAAAGTTATCTTATATATTCAGAAAAGAAAATTAAAAGTGGGGGTCTATGATGTAATTTTTTAGATATTTCTAAAAAAAAAGTGTTAATTTTATGTAAAAATTGGCTCAATTTTTTCCAGGAATTTCAGATTATATTTACTATATTTGTCACAATATAATGAAAGAATTCATAAGAAATAATTTAATAGATATTTCAGATCCAGCATTAAACATTTCACTGCAAAAAACAGCTCTTTGTCCAACCAGCCAGCATGGAAAAATAGGAATCTAAACTTAACAGTACTGTATATATTTCAAAAGGGAAAAAATGATTATTTTCTTTTAAAATACCTTCCGCCACAAAATATAGTTCCTGACTTAATCCTATTTGGATGGAATTTAATCGCTGGTTTTTTTTTTTTTTTTTTTTTTTTTTTTTTTTTTTTTTTTTTCATTGGGTATAGTTTAATTTGCATTGTAGAATCCAGATTTAATGTTAGAACTTAAAAATGATGCAGAATTTTAGAAATAAAGGTCCAGACCAAAATCTACTCAAAAGCTCAGGATCGAACCTCCTTAAGAAACTTTTTTGGGTTTCAATGATGTTTGCTTTGTGGTTCTCTCTAATTTTTTTTTTTATCAACTAATCTTGATAATACAGACTCTAAAATTTTTTCTGTGTCTTTTTTGTCATGAACAAAACATTTTAAAAATGTTATTAGACGTATCATATCAATGCCAGACATTCTTATTGTGGATTTGTTTCACAAACATTGAAAGACCATGGAAAGCTCAGATGAGCATGTATCCTATGGACATATCAAAATAATATCTTATATTATTATCAGTCTGAAATTAAAGAATTTATTGAAGTAACATTTCTGTTTAAAAAGATTTTGGAAGGGAGTTTTTGTCAAAAAAATAGTTTTTGAGCAAAAATTGGCCTGAAAAGTAAAATATGTTTTACTACTGCATAAATTGGTGTTCTGGATTATATTTTTGTTATAGAAAAATTCTTTTTAGCCCTCAGATGGTCTTCTTATGAAAATTAAAAGTATATAACTTAAAATTAAGTATAATTTACTGCACACCTACATGACACCATTAATCAAAATAAAATGCCTAAAATAAGAGAAGTTCTGGGGTAAATTTTCACAGATTGGCTCCTAAATGTACGAATTTGAAAGTTTCAAGACCTTATTACACAACTTCAAGACATAACCATTCATATTCCAAAATATGATATATCTCCTACCGGGTATGTCAAATATCAGAAGACTTTGTCAAACACAGTACTTGGTAGAAAAACCATGTTTTTCGACCCCAATTGACCCCTTTGGTGATTATGAAAATTCTGAAATCTTACCACACGTCTTAAGAACAACACTGATTATATATTTCAAAAGGATGATTGGACTACTGTGTAAAATAAAGAAGCATTTCAGGAAACCAGGAATTTATTTTTCAAAAATGTTGTTTTCGACCCTCAAAAGCCCCCTAAGGTGAAACTGAAAATTCCAAATCCTTTAGCTTATTACACATTTTCAGGATCTTTTTTGTTTTAGTTTATAGCAATTATTTTGATACATAAAAAGTAAATTAAGAATATGTCAGAAACACAAAAATGGTCACTAAATTATCGACATTTTAAAGCAAACTTTTCGGTATGATTCAAGATGGTAAAAAAAGAGGCACACTCACTGTTACCCGAGTTTTATGACATCTTAAATTGTCACTGACCGACTCAAAAGGATCCTTCTACTTGAACGAGGAAGTTTTTGTTTTATAATTGCAAAAGAAACCTCGTTAAGATTGGAAAGTCCTATGATTCTATGAAGAGGCCTCTACGAAAGAAGACTCTTGAGGATACTTAACATGCACGTGTTTTTAAGATATCAAACGTATACTTTTATTATACTTTATTAGGATCAGGAAGATGAAAAAATACCGGTTTTTGGTTCATTTATTTGGCTCTAAGCACGATAAGTTTTTAAACCGAGGCTGGCCATGACAGATAAGTTGATATTACTGGGATTTCAACAACCTCGGTTAAAATCAGCATTTTGTAAATTTTTGTGGTCGTCGTAATGACCTTGTTAGCAAATATAACCTTTCATTGCTTCTTTTATTTGGTTGACGTGTTTCATACTAATATATTTTTGCATTGTTAGGCCTTTGTTTTGATACTTTATTTTGGCTACGGAATGTTCTGTCTACCTGATTATTACATAAGGCTCAGGGCGGGTGTGAACTCTTAACAGGGGATGCTTACTCCTCCTAGGCACCTGATCCCACCTCTGGATTTTCCAGGGGTTCGTGTTTTCGTCCTGATCACAAATCTGTATGGTTTGTAGATTTTTTTTTGAGTTCGATCAGTACTCGTTATCTTCATATTCTCATTATATGAGATTTAAACAAGATTATGTTTCATTGAAAGACAAAGGGTAAATTACAAGAGAATATTGGATAATTCTTCATTTTTTCACACTAATCTTTAGTTTCGAGGTTCTCTAAAAGAGTATTTTTTATCCCCCTCTCACCCCCCTTTTTGCATTTCATCTAAAACGTTATGAGACCAGAATTAAAGTGCTTGTATACATATAAATATACTTTATTCTGGAAAGATATAACCAGGAAGGATTATTTAATTACCATAACAAAGAACTGGATAGTTAATTTGATTTGATCTCTACTTCTATAGGGTCAGCTCTAAAGAGACAGGCATTTACTCATTCCTTTCCTTTACATTTTACGTAAACAAATAAAGATAATAAAAGCATAAAAACTTCCAATGAGATTGAAAGAAATGTTCTTATCTAACGGCATTGCTTAAAATAAAGCTAATTTTATATCTTTGAATTCTTTTAGCACAATCGGATATTATTCGGACAATATAGTTCGGACAATATCCATATTTTTGGGATTAATTGGTCCTTTGCTTGCGCTAATTGGATAGTTCAGACATTTAATTAAACGAATTAGATATTCCTTCGGACAAGAAGCATTTTTCTGAAAAATTAGTACTATTTTCAAAATATTGAAAAATAATTTGTTCGGACAAATCTGCAGTTTTAATTTTTCGTTCTATTAAGACATTTGTTTGGATGAATGAGATATTTATTGATACGGATCAATTTGAATTTTATTTTTGAACAAATCAGACATCTTATCGAAGGTATGTAGTAATTTGTTCGAACAAATAAGAGAATAAATTTAAGCAAGAGTTATTATTCTTCTGATAAAGAAATGGGCCAGGACTGATAATCGATAATCAAACGTATGGATTGAGTTTATCTTGGTTACAGGATGGGGATATCTGGGTAATCGGATTTTTAAAGTATGAAAAATAATTGATCTTTTTAAAAAAACTTATTCTATATTTACAATGAATTCTAAATAGCGGAACTGTAGGGAATAGCGAACCTTTGTTCTGGTGGACTATCAACCTGCAAGTGTAAAACATATAGACCCTTCTTTCTTTACTTATGTACATTACCTTACGAATATTTGCAAATATATATATATATATATATATATATATATATATATATATATATATATATATATATATATATATATATATATATATATATATATATATATATATATATATATATATATATATATATATAAAATAAATAAATAAAAGATAAAAGAACCTAAATTTTAAACAAATTTAACACACTCAGTGAAACGTAAACTGTTTTTGTAATCAGGACACGAGTTCTGCTTTTGTTAATGTTTACGTTTCACCGGGTGTCTTCAATTTGTTAAACTCTGCACACATCACTGAGCACGGACTGACAATACTGGTGAGTTGGTTTCGCATTCTCACATTTCTACTCTGGATTTTCTGGATTATAGTTTTAATGTTTTTCATTAATACACAACAACACTTTAACTTTCTTAAGTATTAAGGATAAAGTTTACTTAGTGAAAGTGCAAGGATGTGTCACTCAAACGCGTCCCGAAATTTGTAGTTTCAATAGTTTCCAGATAAAATAAATTTTTATTATATTTCAGTGTGAAATGCCATAGCAACATATAAGTCATGATATTATACAGAAAACTTGAACAAATATTAACTTCAAATCTGTCTTTAGGCTCCTTTATACATTTACCATTAATAGATAAAGGATGAATTCTACATTAATATTGTAATCTTGAATATCTGCAAACATTTCTGAGTGTATTTTGATAACTGTTTATCGTGAACAAAAGCAGACAGCAGATATGCAAATGAATTTTAGCAAAATGTTTACTACATTTTCAATGCCTTTCTCGGCTTTAAAGCTCTCATTCGAAAAATTCCTGACCTTTACTTCTAATCCGGGTGTTTGGGGATGGAACAGTCATTACCTATGTTTACATCTTAGGTTTGACGAGGCGCGGCGTACAAGAATCGAACACGAGGTCTCGAAGTGAACGCCCTACCACTAGACTATGGTGACCGGTGACGCGACTGAGGAAATATTCTACATAGATATACAATGAAATAAAAAGTTCAATGCAAAGATTCGCAAGTGATAACATCCAGAAATCTATTAATATTTCTCGTTAGAGAAAAGAAAGCTTGTTTACCATATGTAATTTATATATTTATACTTAGTCTCTGAAACTTTGAAGTGCTCATGAGTTCATGGTAACTTACCTCTAGACGTTTGTTGAGTATTTCGAAGAATCAAGTTATATCTATAAATGTATACGTAATTGGTTTCTAGTGACAACGTAATCATCCTCGATTTTAAAGTATGCTTAGGGACCTAGGTGAGATTGTTTATAAAATTAGGTCATTATTTCACTGTTTTTTTCCACACAAAATTAAATTCAATGTTTGAATATTAACGTATTTAGAAAAATACAATGTTTCATCTTTTAAAAGGCAAAATTCTTTTGAAGCTTCATTTATTTTGAAATCAGAAATGCTTTTGGAAATAACATACATATAGTGGTTTGGTTCCAGTAAAAATGTAGACATTGCATCGAATTCATGGTGTACAAAATGTCTGCAAGCTATATTCTGTTTAATTATAAAATATTTTTCCATTATAAAAAAAATCATTCGATTTGCCTCTCACTGCACATTAATACACAGATGCATTTTGCATCGATAAGCCCCCGCCTACCTTAGTGACGTCTTAGCTACGCTTCCGGGTCGGACATTCCATAGTAAACATGGCTGGTGAAATCATTCATTTAGATTCCATCCCGTCGGACATTTCTGTTGATTATTTTAGAAATGCTGTTTCGTCAAAACGTGCAAAAGAGAGAGGTTATAATTTCGTCATCAATGGATAGATACATGCATTAAAACTTTTCACGCCCAACGACCAATCAATAGATTTATCCGCAAAATGCTACCGCTCAATGCGTTAAAGTGAACCCCTGCACAAGATAAACATGATGATTACTATGACAACTTCGAAAATAACAGAGAGTTATTGCTCCTGTAAGGCTGGGTATATACATTAAATAATTAATTTAAGTGAGATAAAATTAAGGATAAGAAATAAAAATCAACAATGGACGTTTTATGTATCACAGACACGGGGGCAGGGAAGGCTTTTGCTGTAAATTTTGTATGAATATTTTCATTTATTTCTTCCATAATTTTTCAGGGTATGGTAATCTTTTCATCTTTGAACCCATATTAATTTTATATATTAAAATATGTCCACCTCTTCACAATTAAAGAATTTTTTTTAACTGCCCCAGCCCCATAATTAGTTTAAATTAAGAAACATGAGCATATAGAGTTTGAGATTTATATAAATAACACATGCTTACAAAGTACTATTGTATATATTTTTTCTTACTTCAGAATAAGTGGTATTTGTTCCCATGCAGTTGGTGTGCTGTACACCATTGCACATTACAAAAACATGGGCTTGACAGAAGTGCCATCTGCACTGGCATGCACTAGTATGCCACAGCAATGGCACAAACCTAGAGGTCCCAAGATAGTTCCTGAACCTGTTGCAGCTATGGTATTTGCCAAACCAAAACAAAAATCAGGTAAAAAGAGGCCACTCCATAGCACCATGCCCAAGATGAGGTTCTACAAACTACTTTATCATCATACTTCCTCTTCTTCTCTCTATACACTAGACAAAATTGCTAACGCACCACCAAATAAAATTAATATTTTACTTTTCAAGACTTCTTAATGATGTATTTGATATATAATTATATTACTTAAATAAAAAATGAGGCATTTAAATGTCTTTACTGATAGATAACTACAATGTTTACTGAAGCGTAACCATTTCATAGAAAAAATTAAAATCGTGTCCATACTTTTTTGGAAGAATAAATTTCTATTTTTTTCTTTGTGTTTGTGTTCTTTACATTTGTACTAATTAAAAACTCAGAAAAAAAGTTGCACCGTGTGCGGCTTTTGACCTTAGAAGAGCGTGCTAAAGCAGACAGTATGGTGGCTGCAGGGGGTTTCTAAGAAGAAATTAGTAAAAAATAAAAACAATTAAAAGATTGTGAATTCCTTTAATGAGAAATTGTTTCAAATAGATTAACAAACATAAAAATGTTTAATATAGATAGCCACGGCATTAAGTCAGCAGCACACGATAATTTGAAAATTGTACCACAAAATTGGGTCAACCGGAAGTTGGGTGGATTTGGTATGGAAACCAAGGCACTGAATGACTACTAGGCGATATGATAGTCAATAACTGTATGTTATTTGATTTTTAACTTGGAGACTGCTTCTGTGGTAACCTCACGGACCACCTTTGGTGATCACCAAATTCATATCTGGGCAAAAACGGTGCGCAGTGCACGTCCGAAAATTGGTTTTCGGGCAAGAAGGTCATTTTAGGGTCTTGTCATGATACCAAGACATTTGTCAACCCCACTGTTTTGGAAAAGATGGTGTATTATATATACTATTACCGATCGGGTAAATGTTCGATTCACAAATAAGAATAACAAGTGGTGCGTTAGCAATTTTGTCTAGTGTATATATGTATATCCCTGTGTATACCGGTATGATTAACCCACTTTCTTATATATAAAAAGCACTTTTTCCTGAATTTCAATCATTCCAAGCATTGATTTTGAAGAAATTAAAAAAAAAAAGCTGAAGACTGATCCTGCTGCTGAAGGCACACCCCTGTCTTACCTATTACAGGAGGAACTCCATCTTACAAAGACACCGCTGGGCAATGTACAGGAGGGATCAATGCTCCCATATCAGGTAGTACATGTACTAGATATGAACATCAAGGTTTGAATAAAAAAGAAACAAGAATAAATTTCTTTTTTTAAACTTTTACTAAAGTGTCTTGAAAATTTGTCAGTATTGCTGCAACAAACCAGTGTCCATTGATACATTTAAGCATACTTACAGGAATTTTTCTCTTCAGTAACTTAAAACATTTAATTTGATTTATTGCTCGTTCAGTATGTACACTGTATCCTATGAGATGCAATTTGTCGATAACGATTCACTTCTCCTGCACTGACTTTGCACTTGATGCTAAAGGGGGTATATTTAACCTTAGGTCATTAGATTCAACTCCTTTTCAATAAGGAAACCTTTGTCTGTCATTAATGCATCATTAGACAATGTAAATTCTTTTTTTTTAAGTACCGTAAGGTCAAGATCTAATAAATGAAGAGTGCCTACAGATTTCTCAAATCTAAGAAACAAATTCCTTTAATAATCTATTACAATTGTACCTAAATAAATTGAGGTGCTTCGGGACATAATTTTTTAGAAAAACGGAACAAAAAAACATATTTTAAACTGCACTTTTCAATGAAGAATGAAGAAAATCAGGAATAAAAATGGAAGATTTCTACATCTCAGACAAACAAAATGTATCAATATTGCCTACAGTCTCTCAGTAAACGGTTTTTCATATCTTCTTTATCTGTTCTTTAAAATGATAAAAAATTGAATATAGGTATCGGGGTTCCTTTTGAAATGATACCAAATTGACTTCCATGAAAATGTGTCATTTTCTACTTAATTCTGGTATATGCATAAAATACGGGGAAAAATAAGATTAAATCAATTAGGAAGTCATAATGGATCTAGCACCAAAAGACATCTACTAAACTCATTTACTAGATCTTGACCTTATAAAGTCATAATAACCACATTATTTAATAATATCATTATCAGAAATACTTCCAGAATACAAATCTGACACAAATAGAACTGAACCCTTAGGGTCACATACAACAAGACCTTTCAATATATTTGAGGACTTGTAGTCAGAGTAACACTGACTTTGTTGTTTTAGAGATAATGGCTTCTCTGTCTTCAATTCAGTACAATCTAAAATGGCTAAACAAGTTGGAAATTCTATTTTAAATGATTCTGGCATATTATCTACAATGACATTTTGATGAGGCCAGTAGCATAGTGAGCCTAATCCTAAATACATATATATACGTGGCCACTGCATTTACAACTGTTGACACTGTCTGAACTTTTACATTGAATCTAAATGCCAGATCTTTAACATGCAAACCATTCCTAAGTCGGCACAAATACATGAACAGTTGTTGTGACAAAGGAAATCTGTCCATTTGAGCTTCTTTCCCTTTCTCCTCATAGACAATTGGGTTTGTGTTCTTACATGGAAAGAAAAATGCAAATAGCATTACAAATCTTGAAAATGTTAACCCAGTATAAAATTCAAATACGGTAAGTTCTTGATTTTTGACTTTGATACATCATCAGGCGTAAAAGTGGTATGCCTTTCTGTTTGACAGGAAACATCAGAGACCTCTGCTGCAACATCCTTTACTTTCGAATCGAGTTCCTCCCTTAGTCTTTCATTTTCTTCTTCAAGTTGCTTTATTCTTGATGCAAGGGAAAACATTTCCATGGATGAGAACACTGAAATATGAAATTAAACATATCATGGTTCAGGAATATACAAAGATAATATAACAAAATTATCATTTATTTTAAAATAAAACATTTATTATTGTTGTTTTTTTTTCAGTTGAAAAACTACAAGAACATTCCGTCCATTAAAAATGGAACTTGCGGAAATACTGCTTTCCCATTGGACAGTGAGATACCATTTGAAATTAACACAAAACTAAAGAACTTAATCAACTTTACAACACAATACAAGAGGAGGCTATAAAGATGGAAAGGTCAACTGTTGATCAGTCGTCAAATGAGGTTTGGTTTGCAGAAAGGAATAAGCGTGTGACTGCATCCCAATTCCATAAAATATGCAAGAGAAAAAAAGATATAATAGATAGTTTTGTTTGTAATATATTTAATCAGAAAACTTTCATTTCAGAAGGTACCTCTTATGAAAAATGTCATGAAAATGTTGCCACACAAAAAGTGATGGAGAAGCATCAAAATATTCACATTCACGACTGTGGGTTAGTTATAAATCCTTCGTTTTCATTCCTAGCTGCTTCACCTGCTGGTAAAATTTGTTTGGATGGACAAACTGGAGTTTTAGAGATAAAATGTCCATTTTTTGCTTGAAACCTTATTTCATAAGCTGTACAATTGCCAAATTTTTGCCTACAGGCATCTGGTGATTCTTACCAATTGAAAAAAAAATCATGATTATTATTTCCAAATACAGGGCCAATTAATGGTGACAGGTACATCTTTCTGTATATTTGTTGTCTATACTAAAAAAGATTTATTTATTGACAAAAATACCAAAAGATTGTAGTTTCATGAAAGACATGTTTGACAAACTTGCTAACTTCTTTCTTGTGCATGCTTTGAGTAAATTAGATAGTGCATCAACTAGATAGCTCATCTCATGAAAATACATTCTGATGTATGTGTCCATTAATGATTTGAATTATTAAATTATCTTGATCAGAAATATTCCTTGTTTTCACTATAGATTCAAACCTGAAAAAGAGACTGTAGAGGTCTTGTATATTTCTGGACTTATACAAGGTCTTACATTCTTGGGAAAGGACTTACATTCTTCCTCTGTTTGACAGGCAACATCAAAATCTAAGAGAGAATCTCTGTGTGGAGGAGGTGCAAAACTGTCACTGGTGAAAAAAAATTAAAATTGATCTTAAATCCATTTTTAGGTCACCTGAGTCACTCAGGTGACCTATTGCTATCCGTTTTTGTCCGTCGTCGTGCGTCGTCCGTCGTCCATAGTGCGTCGTGCGTTAACATTTAAACATTTTCAGCTTCTTCTGTAAAACCGCTCAACCAATTTCAACCAATTTTGGCATATAGCATCTGTGGATGAAGGGGGACAAAAATTGTGAATTTCATGGTCCCTGCCCCCCTGGGGCCTGAGGGGTGGGGCTAAAACCACCAAAATTAATGCAATCTTTAAAAATCTTCTTCTTTACTCCTAGACATCAAGCAGTCAAACTGTTGACATGATTGTAATTAGCATTGAGCCCTCTACCTAAATTGTGAAATTCATGGCCCCAGGGTCAGGGGTTCTGGTGCTAGGGCGGGGCTATATAGATCATATAGTGAAAGTGCATTATTTCTTTGAAAATCTTCTTCTCTACTCCTGGGTATTATTGAAACAAATTGAATACATAGTTATGATAAGCAAGAGTGACTCTACCGAAATTGTGAAATTCATGGCCCCAGGGTCAGGGGTTCTGGTGCTAGGGCGGGGCTATATAGATCATATAGTGAAAGTGCATTATTTCTTTGAAAATCTTCTTCTCTACTCTTGGGTTTTATTGAAACAAATTAAATACATAGTTATGATAAGCAAGAGTGACTCTACCAAAATTGTGAAATTCATGGCCCCAGGGTCAGGGGTTCTGGTGCTAGGGCGGGGCTATATAGATCATATAGTGAAAGTGCATTATTTCTTTGAAAATCTTCTTCTCTACTCCTGGGTATTATTGAAACAAATTAAATACATAGTTATGATAAGCAAGGATGCCTCTTCCAAAATTGTGAATTTCATGGCCCCTGGATCAGAGGTTCTGGTGTTAGGGTGGGGCTCTATTTATTATATAGTGAAAATGCATTAATGCTTTAAAAATCTTCTTCTCTGCTTCTTGGTATTATTTAAACAAATTAAGTACATTGTTATGATAAGCAAGGATGCCTCTTCCAAAATTGTGAAATTCATGGCCCCAGGGACAGGGGTTCTGGTGCTAGGGTGGGGCCATATAGATCCTATAGTGAAGGTGAATTATTTCTATAAAACTCTTCTTCTCTGCCCCTGGGTATTATTTTAACAAACTAAGTACATTGTTATGATATGCAATTATGCCTCTTCCAAACTTGTGAATTTCATGGCCCCAGGGTCAAGGGTTCTGGTGAAAAAAGGGGGGGGGGGCTCTATTGAGTATATAGTGAAAAAGCAATTTTTTTCTGAAAACATTCTTTTCTGCTTCTGGTTAAAAAGCAAAGAAGCTAGTGTATAGTTATGATGAGCAAGAGTGCTTCTTCCAGAGTAGTGAATTGCATGACCCCTGGGTCAGATGTGCTGGTGCAAGGGTGGGGCTCTTGATAATATAGTGAAAATGCATTATTTCTATTAAATAATCCTGTCTGCTCCTCAGTGTTAAGCAGATAAACAAAGTGATTACTTATGATGTGCAAACTTCTGGTCCCAGGGTGAGAGGCTCTGATGTTTCTCGATGGAGGGGGGGGGGGGGGGTTCTATTGATAATATAGTGAATCTGTAGTAAAAATGCATTATTTCTTTAAAAATCTTCTCTGCACCTGGGCATATCAGAGGCAAAAAGAGTAAAAGTTTTAATAAGGAAGGGTATTTTTACCAGTTATTTGAACATCTGGACCATTTAGTCAAGTGTTCTGGTCCTAGCTAGGGCACTATTAATTTGTAATCTACTGAGAGGAGTTATTCCCCTTTGCCATTTACTTGTGATAATTAATCACTGTAAATAATGTACTTGAAAGGTTAATAGAATAAGAGAATTATGCAAGAATTTTTATTTTATAATACAAAAAGTTCTTTGAATTCATAGTTTTAATGATCAGGTAGACTTGTAAGTAATAGATAAATAAAAATGAGACAAAAATAACTCGTCTTATTAAATGTTCATCAAAGATCAAGAGAGGCCAATGTAAGGTATTTCAACAAGGAATTAAGATGGTACAGAAGCAGTGATATTTTGTTAATTTAATGTATGGTGAAAGTGTTAAATGAGGAACAGATTAGAACCTAATTTATGAACTGTGAATGAATGCTAGACTAATTATTTTTTTTATCCTGATCACTCTATTTTTCTTGCTTTTGGGCAACAAAGTTTCACCTTTCAGTTCATTTTATACTCTATGGATCCTCTAAATTGTTGTATTATACTCAGGTGACCGTTAAGGCCCTTGGGCCTCTTGTTATTACCTAACAGTATCATGCACTCTTAAATACATTCATTTACTTGAAATATCATTTTTATTTTTTTTTTTTTTTTGGGGGGGGGGGATTATTAAAAATCAAAAATTGTTTAAACATATTTCTATGAATGTATTAAGTTTGGATTCAATGGACTCTGTACATTCAAACCTGATAGACAAAGTCAGTCAATTAATTGGACTGGTGAGACGTGTATACAATTTTTCGTCTTGATCTCCTTAGTTCACCAGCTTGTGCATTACATAGATCTGGATAGTCATCAGATGGGCCATCTATTGAAATAAAATGCTGAAATTGAACAATTAAAATGATTTTAAAAATTATCTCTAAAAAAGTCTCAATGTGACAGGAGACAACTTTCCATGACAGCAGTTCTCTGATACTCTCTCTCTCTCTCTCTCAGATTATTGTATTACTCCAGTACGTATACATATTTAATAATGTTAATTATGATAATTCATTTATTGATTCACCAATATTCTAAACTTGTTATGATAAATAAAAATCCCGTAATTCCGAGACTAAAAACTTAGCATAAGAAGGATTGGTTATCTGACACACAACATGCACTTGAATGCAGTCCTAAATGATCGATCACTGCTCACAGTGCTGCACTACAGTGTGCACATCTGCACATGTCATTGTACACATTTGACGTAATATGTAGCTAATCAATTTATATTATAAATTTCTATGATATTTACTTTTGAACATATATATGTATGTTTCGTAATTCTGTCTACGTTAAGCTGATCGTGAGGTCGTCGACACAAGGAAATCCATCGCAGGCATTTCTGTAAATCAGATTTCGGCTTGGGAAATGGAATGAATTTTGCTCCCATCAGCTTATCTGGGTACCTGCTATCGGATTCACAGGTTCCGAACGAACAGTGCTTCACCATAGTAAAGTAGGTAATAAAGGACTTTTAAAAAACAACGGATTAAAAACACCTTTTTGTGTAACATCTGCGTAAACACCATTGTAAATAGCGCCATTTTGTCCGACTGATGTCCGACCTCAGCGCAGATGCAAATGACGCGATAATGCAGCGATCTGTTTGGTCGTAATTAACACACGCACATAAGATATGGATCGGTGTATTGCGTCACATTTCACCAAGATTACTTCACATTGACCAGTCAGGGATAGGGTAATGGTAATGTATAATTGTAATTAACAATTACATTTGCTGTGTTTTTTACTATACTAACTACGAAAATGATTTGAATGTCATTTTCGTGTATACTCACGCATAGAAATATACACGGAGAACCTCGCGCTAAAGTGACGTCACAATGATGTTACAGAGACGTCAATAAAACTATAACGATATAGGACGGCGAGAAATTAAGAGTCATTCTCTGTAAGCATCAAAATGGGCTGGAAATTGACTGTCACTGATTTTGCTGAAACTTGGTGAAATAATTACTTTGTAAGCCCATTTTACAAAAGTATATTGGAAATGATCAATTGGTCTTTTTTCCATGGCAACAGATCACGTATTTTCGAACACTGGTGGGAAATGTATATTTAATTAATATAAGTGACCACTATGAATTTTTTTCTAAAAATAATTTGTATTTTGTATTTTTTATACAAGAAAGTTGCAAAAAAATCTTGGACTTTCCAATAATTGCCAAATAATATTTAAAAAATGCTTTTAAAAAAGGGGGTGGAACATAACAGTATGCACAAAAAAAGCAGGCACTAGTGGAATATTTTGATGCTATAAAATTTACCCATAACAATTATGAAGAACATAGTAAAAAATTGGAGAGGTATTATTTAACTTAAGAAAATAAATTGATTGTAAAGTTTGTAAAAATCTCTAAATTTATACACATTTTTGTCAAGAGTTATATCCCTTCTCGGAAATCTTTTGCTAAAAATCATAGAAAATGAAAGTGAAAGTAGAGAGTAGAACATGACTCAGAGGAGTATTTTCTATCTTTTTTTGATATTTTCAGTTATCTTTAACCCATTTTGTGTAGTATTTTGTATTACCCGTAGTTTAATGTTTGTTCAGGCCTTACTGTGTCTGAGAAATATACATGTAATGTGTATAAGCATGAAAATGGATTGCAGTCCTATTGAAATTCCTGTGATACGTACTGCATCATTGCAATAAAGGTGTCTAAAAGCAAGCTTACATCAGTTACAATTTCAAAGCTACAAGTTGAGTGGGATAATAAGGCTGTGATAAAGAAAGATACCTGGCAGAAAGATGATCA